TACGACGAGTCCCTCCCAGAACCGAACGCCGAGTACCACACCGAACCTCTGGCCGAGTCCAACGAAGAACCCATTAGCAAGTCCTACGACGAGTCACTTCCAGAATCGAACGCCGAGTACCACACCGAACCTCTCGCCGAGTCCAACGAAGAACCCATCACCAAGCCCCTCGCCGAGTCCCCCGCCGAGCCTTTCGCCGAACACCCAGCGCTGCCCCTCCCCCTGCCCAGGTCCACGGCCCTCGTCATGAATATTGAGAAGCAGCGGGCCGCAAACAACGCCGCCAAGACATCGGGGGGCGATATCGGGCCAGAACAACGTGACGGGAAATCGCTTTCTGAAAGCCAGGAAATTGAAAGTATTCGCGAAAATGGTTCGACGGTGGCCGTTGACAATGTGACAGCAGAAACCAATCCGGAGCCGGCCGAGCAGGCCAGCGCCGAGGACTCGGCTGCCCTCCTGCTGGACTCACTGCCACTGCTCTCCCCGGACAGTGAGAAGGAGATCGAGCGCCAGTTCGAATCGCTGATGAAGACCCAGTGCGGGCCCGTGGAGCCCGTAGAGGCCGAGTTCAACTCACTGGTGCGCGAGCCCACCATTAGCAAGCAGCCCCACGCCCGCTCCTACCCGGCGACGAAGTTCTTTAAGTATTTGGAGGAGAGTCAGGACTCGGTCGACGAGCCCAGCTTTCTGGGTAACTGTGACCAGGTTGACGGCAGCAAAGCACTAACTGAAGCGCTGCAGTCGTTGGTGGAGGACTTGGCAAAACCCCCCATTCAGGAGAACACCCCGGTGGTCGTGGCAGAGGCTGCAGTCGCGGCCGGGCGCACGGAGAAGGAGGACGAGGGGAGCCCCGACGAGAACAGTGTGGCTGAGTTCGGGGCCATGGGTGCGCTCCAGGTGCGCCTAGGGGAGGGAGTCAGCGAGGACGCGGTTGGTCACCTCGCCGACATCGCCGATGCCCTGGAGAACACTATCGAGGGCATTGAGGTGGGCCAACTCGGCCAGCAGGGCAAGGCGCAAAATAGAGAGCGGAGGAAGGAAGAGGAGGAGAGCCTGTTGGAGCTGTGCGACAAGCTCCTCCTCATCGCTGGCCAGGGCCAGCACCACCTCTCACCAGCCACGACGGGACTCCCCGGGCCCTGCGACTCCCTGTACACCGCCGTGCCCACCATTGAGCCCGACGACGATATCCTCATTGTCACGCAGTCGGGCTCGGACACCACCATCCGCATGATCGCCACTCCACCGCTGTCTCCAAGGCCGGGCCCGACCACCACCTCCGCAGACTCGGGCTCCTCCACCTACAGGCCGCCCGTGCCCCCGAAGCCCCCAGTCAGGTCACCCCGGCGAAAACACCTTTCCCCGTCCTCCCCCAGCATTGCAGGGCCGGGTCCGGGGCCGGAGCCAGAACCTGGGCCAGGACCGGAGCCAGAGCCAAGGCCCTCCCCGACGAGTCAGGGGGACGCCGAGCCCGTCGACCGGAAGCACCCGCTGTACCGCTCGCTGGAGGACGTCAGCGAGACCAAGCAGCTCTCCCTATCAGCCCCGGCGGAAAGCGACCTCGGTGACCTAGACTCGCTCATCTCCGAGGCGGGCTTCCCGCTCAGCATGCGCGTCACGCACCGGAAGCTCTTCTGGGACAAGCAGCTCCAGCGCAACACGGAGGGGGAAGGCGTCGCCCACGCTCCCCACGCCGCCCCCGCCAAGGGGAGGGGCATAACCTCCGACAGACCCGCGCCCGCACCAGCGGCCTCGTCCGCGGTGCACACGGTGGTGCTGACGTCGACTCCACCGCGGCAGGCTGAGCCGGAGAGGCAAGGCCCTCCGACCCCCCCACCCAAGCCCACCCCAAGGAAGCACAGGGTCGCCCTGGCCCCGTCCCCACCCGAAGACTTCACGGCAGGCTCCAGCAGCAGACTCCAGGTGCTACGCAAGGCGCGGACGCGCACCGGGGCGTGCGAGGCGGAGGCGCTCCCGGCGGCCGGCATCGTCAAGTCCGGCAGGCGGTTCTTCGAGAGCACGGCGCAGCAGCAGAAGGTATCGGCGAGAACGCCATGTTGTGCCGCGGAGGTCGTGGACCCTGTCACCAGGATTAGGAGGGAGATCGAGGCCCTGGAGAGGCGGACTCAGCAGGTGCACCAGGCGCAAAAGCGACAGCAGAGCGCTTTCAATGTCCCAAAGAAGCGCGCGCCGCCGCCACCACCGCCTGTCGCAACCTCGACCACGGCCACGGCGTTCTCGGCCTCGGTTAGGGCGAGTGGAACTTCCGCGCCAGGGGGAGGTCCCGGCAGCCGACATATTGACACAGGCAGCACCGCGATGCGAACCAGCAAAACTTCGAACCGAGGTAAAGGAAGTTGGGGGCGCAAGTTCAAAAAATGCTTCTCTTAAAAGGGCTCGTTTGAGACCGGTGTTTATCTTCTTTAAATGTAGCCTTGCCGACAGTCGAGCTTGAGCAGGACATTGGTGCGATCGACTGTGCCGTCGGAGCAAGTTCCACGCTCTTGGAGCGGAGGGAACGTTTCGAGCGCGCTAAAACCTACTTCAAGAAACTGGAGGATCCTAGCATTTCGGCGAGTGTCTCCCACCCTATCCCCTCC